TATAATGTACATACATACATGGTGTATATGATTTTATGATTTAACGTGCAGTTGGAGTGATAGCAAGGTAACATTTTTAAAGGGGTTCGAGGAAACCAGTTAGCTGTACTTGAGTCCTGAAGGAAGGAAGTACAGTGACTGCACTATAAAGGAGGGATAGGGATGTTAAATTTCAGAGCCATCTGAACTGCAAGACATTACACAAATAACCCACACTTAAGAGACTGAAACCTATGATGATGATGCTTCGGTTTGACTAGTTAATGGTCCATGTCACACTGAAATGCCATCATAAGTTTCAGTCTCACAAGTGTGTGTATTGTCCCAGTCATGGTATTGTGCCTTTGTCATTCTTCCTGCAAGGCAACAATTGAATGACGGTGAAAGCAGTTCCTCTTTCAGGTCACATCTACCTCAATGGGATATGGCCTGTGTTAAAAATACATATACACGTATATACACACATATATACATACATACCTGGTATACAAAACAACCATGGAGGGAGTTTTGCATCTTGTATCACTTGTTTGCAATTATTACATACCTGGTATATATTCCCTCCCTCACTTCTCTCTCTCTCTCTATACTCAGGCACAGAAACTACAACAGATACATCTCGCATTTCATTTTCATTCTCGGTCCACCATAGTTGAAACAGATAATTTCAACTCCTTTTATATAATTAACCATACAGCAATATTATCTTTAGCTCTCTCAGATTAACCTGACTAAATTCCCTTAAATCCTCCAAGTCTCCTAATACTTGTTGTCCTTCTTTATCTAATAGTAAATAAATACCCAGTAGATAATTAGGTGTTGTGGGTTGCATCCTAGGGACCTTAGGATCCCAACAGAAATAGGCTACACTGCCTTATTTCTTTTTTTTTTTTTTTTTTTTTGGCTATAATATATTACAGGGTGTTTCACTCGTAGGAGGCCCTGAGTTATCGTTTACTATACATAATAAGTTAGGGCTGCACTTATGTGGCACATCAGGTTCCTGGCTACCGCCGTAAAGCGGAAATTGCCATAAAGTGGAATGCCCTTTATTTCCACTCATCGTAGTTTACACTAACATATATCAAGTTAGCAATAGAACTAGGCATTAAAAGCAATAGGCATTAATAAACAATAAAAGTAGGCCTTAGACAAGGATGTGTGATGTCACCGTGGTTGTTTAATATATTTATAGATGGGGTTGTAAGAGAAGTAAATGCGAGGGTCTTGGCAAGAGGCGTGGAGTTAAAAGATAAAGAATCACACACAGGGTGGGAGTTGTCACAGCTGCTCTTTGCTGATGACACTGTGCTCTTGGGAGATTCTGAAGAGAAGCTGCAGAGATTGGTGGATGAATTTGGTAGGGTGTGCAAAAGAAGAAAATTAAAGGTGAATACAGGAAAGAGTAAGGTTATGAGGATAACAAAAAGATTAGGTGATGAAAGATTGAATATCAGATTGGGGGGAGAGAGTATGGAGGAGGTGAACGTATTCAGATATTTGGAGTGGACGTGTCAGGGATGGGTCTATGAAAGATGAGGTGAATCATAGAATTGATGAGGGAAAAAGAGTGAGTGGTGCACTTAGGAGTCTGTGGAGACAGAGAACTTTGTCCTTGGAGGCAAAGAGGGGAATGTATGAGAGTATAGTTTTACCAACGCTCTTATATGGGTGTGAAGCATGGGTGATGAATGTTGCAGCGAGGAGAAGGCTGGAGGCAGTGGAGATGTCATGTCTGAGGGCAATGTGTGGTGTGAATATAATGCAGAGAATTCGTAATTTGGAAGTTAGGAGGAGGTGCGGGATTACCAAAACTGTTGTCCAGAGGGCTGAGGAAGGGTTGTTGAGGTGGTTCGGACATGTAGAGAGAATGGAGCGAAACAGAATAACTTCAAGAGTGTATCAGTCTGTAGTGGAAGGAAGGCGGGGTAGGGGTCGGCCTAGGAAGGGTTGGAGGGAGGGGGTAAAGGAGGTTTTGTGTGCGAGGGCTTGGACTTCCAGCAGGCATGCGTGAGCGTGTTTGATAGGAGTGAATGGAGACAAATGGTTTTTAATACTTGACGTGCTGTTGGAGTGTGAGCAAAGTAACATTTATGAAGGGATTCAGGGAAACCGGCAGGCCGGACTTGAGTCCTGGAGATGGGAAGTACAGTGCCTGCACTCTGAAGGAGGGGTGTTAATGTTGCAGTTTAAAAACTGTAGTGTAAAGCACCCTTCTGGCAAGACAGTGATGGAGTGAATGATGGTGAAAGTTTTTCTTTTTCGGGCCACCCTGCCTTGGTGGGAATCGGCCAGTGTGATAATAAAAAAAAAAAAAAAAAAGTAAAATACAGTGGTACCCCAAGTTTCAGCCATAAGTCATTCCAGAAGGCTGTTTGAGTGCCACTACCAAACGAATTTGTTCCCATATGGAATAATGTAAATTCGATTAGTCCGTTTCAGACCCCCAAAAATACACTTACAAAAGCACTTACAATAATACACTTACATATTTGATCGAGTTGGGAGCTGTACAAAACTCAGGGTACCACTGTACACATATAGTACACTCATTACTTACCTTAATATATTTGTAGTTTTAATGTAGTGTGAGATGAGTAGTATTTATAGTAAGAAATCATATGTGGGAGGTATGGCAGCCAGCCAGGTCACCCCACCCCACCCACTTAATATACTACAACATGTAAAGTGTCCCAGAGTGATAAAATGCGTATACAGTTCACTCATTATTTACCTTAAAATATTTATAGTCTTAATGTAGGGTGAGAGGTGAGTAAACAAGATATAACGAATAAACAAGAGAGAGAATGAGTAAATGAGAGAGAGGACAGAGATGTGGAGGATATAAACAAACACATGTTTGTATTATGATAATAATGATAATAATAATGATGATAATGATCATAATAATAATAAAAATAATAATAATAATAATAATAATCTTTCTTCTTTCAACACACTGGCCGTATCCCACTGAGGTGGGGTGGCTCAAAAGGAAAAACGAAAGTTTCCCCTTTTACATTTAGTAATATATACAGAAGGGGTTACTAGCCCCTTGCTCCTGGCATTTTAGTTGCCTCTTAAAACACGCATGGCTTACGGAGTTAGAATTCTGTTCCACTTCCCCATGGAGGTAAGAGGAAATAAACAAGAACAAGAACTAGAAAGAAAACAGAAGAAAACCCTGAGGGGTGTGTATATATATGCTTGTACATGTATGTGTAGTGTGACCTAAGTGTAAGTAGAAGTAGCAAGACGTACCTGAAATCTTGCATGTGTATGAGACAGAAAAAAAGACACCAGCAATCCTACCATCATGTAAAACAATTACAGGCTTCCGTTTTACACTCACTTGGCAGGACGGTAGTACCTCCCTGGGCGGTTGCTGTCTACCAACCTACTACCTAGAATAATAATAATAATAAATACAATATTGTTTAGCTTCCAACACAATGCAAGCTTTCTCTCTCTCTTTACCCCTAGTAATATTATTGTGTACATATTTTCTTTGGTGTTGAACTAAAGAAAACATTATTCTTTCCAACACCGGTAGGACGACTGGAAAAACATCTCATATTTATGTTAATTTATTCTACTGTGGGGTGTATTTATCATGCTTATATGTTACGCAGCATGTTTATTATATAATTTTGAAACAATATCGTAGATGGATTACTGAAAATGTGTATATTAACATAATATACGACATTTACTGTGCCTCAGAGTGATTATTATCATTATTAATACAATGTACTCAAGACTAATAAGACACCCTTAGCGATTTTGATGTGGACCTGCATGCCAACACAGTGTGTAAGTTTATTTAGGTACAGGTACACATAGGTATAATTATCAGAGTATATATAAAACATGAAATAACTTTAAAACACTTGAAATTTTAGAAAGTTTCGACATAATGGAGAGACACGGTACTCACAGAGCTCATGGAGAATGTAAACAAACCAGGTGGGATGCGGTGACCATATTAGAAAGTCAGGTGGGGGGAGCCACAGAGCAAGTTTTGGTCATAATTTGAAATGTCCATATTAGCTGAATGCCATAAAGCGAAAAGACATAAAGCGGGGCCCTAACCACATACAAACAAGATGGCTGGAACTACAGGAGTACCAACATCCTGTATTAATCCTCTGGGGGTAACAAGCCAAAGAAATTCTTCTTTCTCATCATTTTCTTCATTCTTTTTAACAAAATGGCCAGCTCCCTCCAAGGCAGGGTAACTCAAAGAAGAAAACACATTCACATCCTTAAAAAATTTATGCATCTTCAAAGCACCCAATATTAAAATTTCTTTCATTTACTTTCTAGCTATTAATTGCAAGTGAACAAGTAAACAGCCCCTTTCTCCAGGTGATGTAAGTCACCTATAACTGACATGACTACAGTGATAAAATATAACCCACTTCCCCAATGTGTTTGTCTATTAAAAACCAAGTACAGTGGACCCCCGCCTTACGATCAGCTCCCAACTCAAACAATTATGTAAGTGTATTTTTGTAAGTGCTTTTGTACGTGTATTTTTGGGGGTCTGAAACGGACTAATCTAATTTACAATATTCCTTATGGGAACAAATTCGTTCGGTAACAGCACCCGAATGGACTTCTGGAATGAATTAATATCATAAGTCGGGGGTCCACTGTACATGAAAATTATGCCAAATACCAATTACTCATTTATATGTAAGAAAAAATGAGAAAATGTTTACAAGAAATTTATAACATATAAAAAGTATAATCTCAAATTACTGTAATAATAAGTAGATTAGATAACTGATCACTGGTTTTTTAAAACAGTAAACAGAAGACTTTGTTAGATATCTAAACATAACACACAGGTTCATTTGCATCACCTTTATGATTTATGTTTAGGACTTTCACTAGACTTGCAGCTCATTATTATGTAATTAGTGAACAAAGGTATTTGAGCTTAACATCAAGCATATGTGGACTTGTATACTAACTGCCTAAAGCTTCTAACTCACCTGTAGGATTGTCGGCCATCTGGTCTAAAATATCTTCAGATTCCATGTCTTGTTTTGCTCGCTGCCATAATTCCTCAAGTCTTTGCCTCTCAACATCCCTTCTCTCTATTTCACGCCGATGTCTAGTCAGATCCCGATGAAGCATAGCACGTGTCTCCATCTCAAACCTCCGTATTCGCTCTTGAGTACTTGCACTGAGGCCGGCATATGATCGAATAGCAACTTCATCTCCAAAAAGAGAGGCCATTTCTGGGGCTAAATGACTAGATTGCTGGCTGGTAGTAGCTGTAGTATTTGTGGTAGTACTAGTGGGTAGTGATATAGATGCTGTACTGGAAGCAACTCCATTCTTCTTTATAACACAAAATGGATGGATATTCTCTCCAGATATGCCCAGATGTGTTTGTTCACTACCACTAGTCCTATCATTATTAAGGCTTTGTGATACATTAGATACACCAGAAGAATGACTTTGAACACTCATAAGGCTCATATTAGATATTTTTCGCTCACTCATGGGTTTTGGGTTAGGCAGTTCTACCATACTTTCAATTTGTTTCACTAGTAACCTTTGTTTTCTTAATTCTGCTTCTTTGTCTATATCACGCTCCTCAAAACCTCCATCTTTATCACTGTATTTTGAGTCATCAACTGGCTTGTCTTCTGTAGCTTTTTTGCACTTCACTTTATGAACCTTTCTATTAGCAGCAGAGATGATCGAAGAGACAATATCCTTCTTCATGTCTGCCTTTACATTACCTATTAAAAAATGAAAAAAATTAAAGTACTGTATACCATGAGGAAATAAAAAAATAATATTTTTAAATTTCCAATAAACTTGTAAACAAGGGTGGTGGTTCAATGCAGCCATATACATCTTAGAGCCAATGCATAAAGTAAAATTTACAAGCAAATATTAATCTAGAATCCAAGAAATTTCATGCTAAAATTGTGATCATGTGAATATATACATTAACCCATCATCATTGTAATACCACCACACTTGCAGAAATACATCATCAAAAAACAAAATAAGAATGTACCTTAGAATGGTATTCAGGAACCTGGACAAAGAAACACTCAAAACTCTCTCTACCTTATATGTGTGTGACTGACCCATTCTTGAGTATACAACATTGGAATAGAACCCTTACCTAGTGAAACACAACTTGAAACTTAAGGAGATCCAAAGGAATGCATATAGACTAACACCCAAATTCAAGGAAATGTACTAAGAAAAAAGAAAAAGCTAGGCCTTTCATCACTGTAAAATAAACAAGACTAGGAGGGGATATGATCATAATATACAAAATACTATGGGGCATAGATAGAGTAAACAAATATATCCTTTGCTAAGGATGCAGCAAGAACAAGAAGTTGACATGGTTGGAACTTATGCATCTAAATGACCCACAAAAATATAAGGAAGCATATAAACCACGGAATGGTGGAATCTGAACCCATAGCATATCTTCTTCATACAGAGTAAAGAAGTAGAAGAAACTAAACAATGACACAGTAGTAGAGAACTCAACACATGAGGTTCAAAAACAGATATGAGAGAGCTATTTCATGTTATTCTGTCAAAAAGTAAAGGTGGGACAACCCCACACAAATTCAAACAGATAAAAATATGGTAATTATACTTACTGATCAAGTGCACCAACCATTCCAACATTTTATCCTCAGCTGTTTTCAGAATTTCATTCTTAATCCCATCAATCACTTTTACCTTTCCAAATTTCAATCTGTACTCAGTCATTTTCTTCATGCACATTTTTGTCAATTCACTCAGTTAAATTAATTTCCCTCCTTCCTTCCTCCTCCCAGTAACATTTTCACCTCTATTTCATCATCTACACTGAATAATTTCTCAGAACATTCTTTCCATGTCTCTAACACCTGCACTTTCATGAACAACACCATACCATTTACACTCTTAATATACAGGTTAATCTGTGCCATGAGTTTTTTACCCTTTTTTTTATTTTTTTTTTTTTATTATTATCACACTGGCCGATTCCCACCAAGGCAGGGTGGTCCGAAAAAGAAAAACTTTCACCATCATTCACTCCATCACTGTCTTGCCAGAAGGGTGCTTTACACTACAGTTTTTAAACTGGTTTAGAAAGACACGTAAGCAAACACTATGACATATTTATTAGAAAACGTTTCGGTCCTGGGACCTTGATCACTTCTAACATACAGAGGTAGAAAGACATTATATATATAGGCGGAGAGTGAGGTGTGACGCACGTGACCTGAGGAATGTCATAAGAACATAAGAATGGAGGAACACTGTAGAAGGCCTACTGGCCCATGCGAGGCAGGTCCTTATCAAAACAACCTCTACCTATGATGAGGACGGGTAGACGATGAAATCATGTGACTCCTGTGTTGTTGGGTTGGTGCTGCTTAAGTATCATGTATGCCAATGTTTTTGAAATTTTGTAGTTTCCAGTGTTGCGTTCTATAGTGTCGGTGATGGCGATTAGTGAGGCTTCTAGGCACCGTCGGCGTCTGAGGTCTGGTTCGGTGAGAACGAGTTGTGCCTCATTCCAGTTCATCAAATGCCCCGTGGAGTCTCTGTGGAGGACACAGGCATACCTTACATCATCTCTGTTAGAGGCATTTCGATGCTCATTCAGGCGGACTGCAAGATCTCTGCCTGTCTCGCCTACATATTTCTTGGGACAGGACCCACAGGGGATAGTGTAGACGCCTGCTGTAGAAGTTAGAGGTGTGGGGCTGCATTTCGTAGTGAGGTCTTTGATAGATGATGTGTTTATGGTAGAAACGTTGATGTTGCTCATAGCAAGTGCCCGGCGAGTATTCGTAGCAACATCGCCACATGGGAGTACTTTGAACTGCTTAGGGGGCTGTTCCATGGGCGGTTTGTTGAGGATAGCTTGTGCCTTGAATCTGCAATCTCGGATGAAGAAAGATGGGAACTGAAGATCAATGCAGTTGAACCATCAATAAAGTTTACACTTGAACTTGAAAATGATGGCAAACTTCCTTTCCTCGACGTTCTACTGTGCAGATCTCCCGACAGTGACAAACTTCTCTTCAAAGTGTATAGACTTATACACTTTTATTCACACTAAGACACCCGCACTAAGAGAGGAGTCTTCATTGGCTTCTTCTTGAGAGCTCTTCGCATATCCAGCCCTTGTTTTCTAGAAGAAGAATGTACTTACATAACACAAGCCTTTACACGCCTTCAGTTCCCATCTTTCTTCATCCGAGATTGCAGACTCAAGGCACAAGCCATCCTCAACAAACCGCCCATGGAACAGCCCCCTAAGCAGTTCACAGTACTCCCATGTGGCGATGTTGCCACGAATACTCGCCGGGAACTTGCTATGAGTAACATCAACATTTCCACCATAAACACATCATCTATCAAAGACCTCACTACGAAACGCAGCCCCACAACTCTAACTTCTACAGCAGGCGTCTACACTATCCCCTGTGGGTTCTGTCCCAAGAAATATGTAGGCGAGACAGGCAGAGATCTTGCAGTCCGCCTGAATGAGCATCGAAATGCCTCTAACAGAGACGATGTAAGGTACACCTGTGTCCTCCACAGAGACTCCACGGGGCATTTGATGAACTGGAATGAGGCACAACTCGTTCTCACCGACCCAGACCTCAGACGCCGACGGTGCCTAGAAGCCTCACTAATCGCCGTCACTGACACTATAGAACGCAACACTGGAAACTACAAAATTTAAAAAAACATTGGCATACATGATACTTAAGCAGCACCAACAAAACAACACAGGAGTCACATGATTTCATCGTCTACCCATCCTCATCATAGGTAGAGGTTGTTTTGATAAGGGCCTGCCTCGCATGGGCCAGTAGGCCTTCTACAGTGTTCCTCCATTCTTATGTTCTTATGACATTCCTCAGGTCACGTGCGTCACACCTCACTCTCCGCCTATATATATAATGTCTTTCTACCTCTGTATGTTAGAAGTGATCAAGGTTCCAGGACCGAAACATTTTCTAATAAATATGTCATAGTGTTTGCTTACGTGTCTTTCTAAACCAACTTGTCGGTATTTATTACCAAGGTTTATACCAGTTTTTAAACTGCAACATTAACACCCCTCCTTCAGAGTGCAGGCACTGTACTTCCCATCTCCAGGACTCAAGTACGGCCTGCCAGTTTCCCTGAACCCCTTCATAAATGTTACTTTGCTCACACTCCAACAGCACGTCAAGTATTAAAAACCATTTGTCTCCATTCACTCCTATCAAACACGCTCACGCATGCCTGCTGGAAGTCCAAGCCCCTCGCACACAAAACTTCCTTTACCCCCTCCCTCCAACCTTTCCTAGGCTGATCCCTACCCCGCCTTCCTTCCACTACAGACTGATACACTCTTGAAGTCACTCTGTTTCGCCCCATTCTCTCTACATGTCCGAACCACCTCAACAACCCTTCCTCAGCCCTCTGGACAACAGTTTTGGTAATCCCACACCTCCTCCTCCTTATATTCACACCACACATTGCCCTCAGACATGACATCTCCACTGCCTCCAGCCTTCTCCTCGCTGCAACATTCATCACCCCATGCTTCACACCCATATAAGAGCGTTGGTAAAACTATACTCTCATACATTCCCCTCTTTGCCTCCAAGGACAAAGTTCTTTGTCTCCACAGACTCCTAAGTGCACCACTCACCCTTTTCCCCTCATCAATTCTATGATTCACCTCATCTTTCATAGACCCATCCGCTGACATGTCCACTCCCAAATATCTGAATACATTCACCTCCTCCATACTCTCTCCCTCCAATCTGATATCCAATCTTTCATCACCTAATCTTTTTGTTATCCTCATAACCTTACTCTTTCCGGTATTCACTTTTAATTTTCTTCTTTTGCACACCCTACCAAATTCATCCACCAATCTCTGCAACTTCTCTTCAGAATCTCCCAAGAGCACAGTGTCATCAGCAAAGAGCAACTGTGACAACTCCCACTTTGTGTGTGATTCTTTATCTTTTAACTCCATGCCTCTTGCCAAGACCCTCGCATTTACTTCTCTTACAACCCCATCTATAAATATATTAAACAACCACGGTGACATCACACATCCTTGTCTAAGGCCTACTTTTACTGGGAAATAATTTCCCTCTTTCCTACATACTCTAACTTGAGCCTCACTATCCTCGTAAAAACTCTTCACTGCTTTCAGTAACCTACCTCCTACACCATACACTTGCAACATCTGCCACATTGCCCCCCTATCCACCCTGTCATACGCCTTTTCCAAATCCATAAATGCCACAAAGACCTCTTTAACCTTATCTAAATACTGTTCACTTATATGTTTCACTGTAAACACCTGGTCCACACACCCCCTACCTTTCCTAAAGCCTCCTTGTTCATCTGCTATCCTATTCTCCTATTCTCAGATACTCCAGATTTAATCCCATTTATTTCCCCCCACCGAAACTCCCCTACCCCCTTCAGCTTTGTTTCGCTTAGGGCCAGGACATCCAACTTCTTTTCATTCATAACATCAGCAATCATCTGTTTCTTGTCATCCGCACTACATCCACGCACATTCAAGCATCCCAGTTTTATAAAGTTTTTCTTCTTCTCTTTTTTAGTAAATGTCTACAGGAGAAGGGGTTACTAGCCCATTGCTCCCGGCATTTTAGTCGCCTCATACGACACACTGGCCGATTCCCACCAAGGCAGGGTTGCCCGAAAAAGAAAAACTTTCACCATCATTCACTCCATCACTGTCTTGCCAGAAGGGTGTTTTACACTACAGTTTTTAAACTGCAACATTAACACTCCTCCTTCTTTAGGTAGTAGGTTGGTAGACAGCAACCACCCACAGAAGTACTACCGTCCTGCCAGATGTCTGTGAAACAGAAACCTGTAACTGTTTTACATGATGGTAGGATTGCTGGTTTCTTTTTCTGTCTCATAAACACGCTAGATAACAGGGATATCTTGCTACACCTACTTACACTTTGGTCACACTTCACAGACACGCACATGCATATATATATACATACATCTAGGTTTTTCTGCTTTTTCTAAATAGCTCTTGTTCTTCTTTATTTCTTCTATTGTCCATGGGGAAGTGGAAAAGAATCTTTCCTCCGTAAGCCATGCGTGCCGTATGAGGCGACTAAAATGCCGGGAGCAATGGGCTAGTAACCCCTTCTCCTGTAGACATTTACTAAAAAAGAGAAGAGAAACTTTCACCTTATTTCTCTCTCCAAATCTTTTCTTACTCTCAGAAAAATTTGATGATAATGAAAACATAAGAAATACAAGTGAGACATGCAGCAAGGGCCTTGGTGTAAAAGAATGAACAAGTATATAAATAAGCTACTGGTCCTAAATAAAGAAGACACACTAGTTGCCCTAAAAACAGATACTGCAGGTAAAACATGGAGAACATTAGAGGTGAATACAGTAGTTACAATTAACAGTATAAGAAAAATAAAAGGGATACCCTTTTTCCCCACTGATAATTTTTTTTTCTTTTGGATACACTCACACTACATCACTACATGTGAAAATATACCATAGTAAAAAAAAAAAAAAAAAAAAAAAAACTGAATACTTTAATGTGTTTTTCATACATCTTTGGAGAAGCCTCAAAGATGTGTATGAATACTCTACATGAAAGCAATTGTCTTTTTTTTTTAACTGGCATTTTTTCAATTCTGTAGTCATGCATTTTATAGTGATTTATTCCCATCACTGTGTAGTATGATGCATTTTCTCTATCACCAAACTGTCTAGTCAATGAATAATTTCTCATTCTTTATCTTCAATTTTCCCCTTACTTGTGCCTTCTTGTCCTTGCTGTATCTTTCCTTCTACTTTCCTACTCATGTATGCTTGCCGAGGCAGTCCTCATTCTTTCCACACATTCTTGTTTCGCACTGTAAGTAAATATCATCTGCTTCATTTATGTGACACCCAGACCAGAAAATGCAATGCTTTGGCTAATATTTACAAGTGCTCCTTTTAAACACTATGACCGCAAGACATCAGATACATCTGGGAAGGATACTATATGAAGACATCATTCCAAAGAAATATAATTCCCAAAAGTAACACGGTTAATTATTAAAGATACATTAGTTATAATTAAAAGACAAATGAGAAAAGAAAAACGTGGATAAGGTGGTGTAAGTCACACAAAATGAGAAGATATTAAAAGGTGGAAAGCAAGTTCGAAAAAACTGATAGTATAGTATGTAAAAGGCAAAGGGCAATACCAAAAATCCATGTCAAGATGTAATGAATGAGCTTTTAAAGGAAAGATGTGTTACAGTTTTTGCTGGGTCAGGTATACTTAAAGCATTTCTGAATGAGGCAAGACAATGTACAGTAAGCAATAGGACTCACCTGATGACTTAGTTCAATATTCAAAGTAAAGAATGATGGAGTGTTTTAGCAAGTTTGAGAGCAAACTACTGTTACTAAGGTTATTCAAGTTGAAGATGCACATAAATGAGATTTGTGGCTTGATTTCCTTTCCTCCCCTCCCATATTACTGGAGAAAACAGGAAAGCAACCATTATAGTATTTTAAACCCCATTTGATATAATGAAATGGTCTATTGTATACAGGAGGGCCCCACATATACAGCACCTTCTTTTCGGTGTTCCATGTTTTCGTTGGCTTCAAACTGAGTCGTTGTTTGTTATGTTCCAACCACCGGTGAGTGGAACAGCTCAACTGAAAGCCAACAAAAACATGGAACACCGAAAAGAGGTGCTGTATGTGTAGGGCCCTCCTGTACTCCTAGACATTTTTTGCAAGATTCTTACCTTCAACCTTTTGAATATTATGAAGAAGAAGAGCTTGGCTGGAAGGAGTGTCAGTATCTGAGGGAGGCACAGATTCACCTGAAGGACTATGGATAACCGACTGATTGGAAACTGGTGGTATTATTTCATCTCCATCATCTTCGCTGAAGAACCACGCTGCCTGTTAGGGAAGCCAAACACATACTAAATTTCTGTGCCAAATAATAATAATTAGCAGCAATAACGTGTCATATAAAATACATGATACACTTCTTGGAAGAATGAAGTGTCTAGCAGGAATTTAAAACATTATCTCACTTTTCTGATAAAAATACAGCATGTCCTTGAGTAACATTGTTTTGTTGAACTTCATTTTGTTACAGTAAGTTCTCAACTTACAAACACATTGAAAATCTTCTGTACTGTGTATATCATTATTATATCATTATTGTGTAAAATATCATTATTATATCATTAAGAAGGTCCCCAATGCATTCTTAGATTGTAGACTTCCTGTATCATGAATATTACACACAATTCAGGAGGTTCCCAATGTTTATTAAGTCAAGGATTTACTATATAAGGTTGATGAGAAAAAATCAAATGAATACAATGAATAAGGATTATTGTAAAATTTAAATTTGTAAAGAATACAATACTCATACAAATGCACGACAATAAACACTGCGGTACAAAAGCACTCAGTGAGCCCGCAATATTTATTTTTAAGCTGCATGGTGGTAGAAGGTGCTCCTTATAATTTATGCTGTGCAAACATTTATTCCTTGATTAACCCTATTACAATGAGTGATAAAGGTGCACTGTGCACCCCTGATATCTTATTTTTTTTTTTTTAACACATTGGGCATTTCTCATTGAGGCATGGTAACCCAAAAAGAAAGAAAAACCCAAACAGAAAGGGAAAAAAAGACCTTCACCATTTCTCATACATAATCAATGTCTTTGCAGAGGCGCTCAGATACAACAGCTTAGACGTCCCTCCAAAATGCCAATATCCCAAAACCCTCCTTGAAAGTGCAGGCATTGTACTTCCCATTTCCAGGACTCAAGTCTAGCTAATCGGTTTCCCAGAATCCTTTCACAAAATATTACCCTGATCACGCTCCAACAACTTGCCAGGTCCCAAAAAACATTCGTCTCCATTCACTCCCACCTAACACACTCATGCACGCTTGCTGGAAGTCCAAGCCCCTTGCCCACAAAACCTCCTTTACACCCTCCCTCCAACTTTTCAAGGACGACCTCTACCCCGCCTTCCTTCCCCTACACATTTATATGCTTCCAAGTCATTCTACTGTGTTCCATTCTCTCTAAATGATCAAACTACTTCAACAACCCCTCTTCAGCCCACTGACTAATATTTTCAGTAACCCCACACCTCCTCCTAATTTCCACACTCTGAATTCTCTGCATAATACGCACACCACACACTGCCCTTAGACAGGACATCTCCACTGCCTCCAGCCACCTCCCCGCTGCAGCATTGACAACCCAAGCTTCACACTCATATAAGTGTTGGTACTTGACGTGCTGTTGGAGTGTGAGCAAAGTAACATTTATGAAGGGATTCAGGGAAACCGGCAGGCCGGACTTGAGTCCTGGAGATGGGAAGTACAGTGCCTGCACTCTGAAGGAGGGGTGTTAATGTTGCAGTTTAAAAACTGTAGTGTAAAGCACCCTTCTGGCAAGACAGTGATGGAGTGAATGATGGTGAAAGTTTTTCTTTTTCGGGCCACCCTGCCTTGGTGGGAATCGGCCGGTGTGATAATAAAAAAAAAAAAAAAACCACTATACTCTCGTGCATTCTCTTCTTTGCCTCCATGGATAACAGTTTTTTGTCTCAACAGATACCTCGATGCATCACTCACCTTTTTTCCTCCATCATTTCTATGGTTAGCTTCATTTTTCATAAATCCATCAGCTGACAAGTCAACTCCCAAATATCTGAAAACATTCACTTCTTCCATACTCCCTCTCTCCAATGTGATATCTATTTTTCTTTATCTTAACTGTTTGATACCCCCATCACCTTCCTCTTATCTCTGTTCACTTTCAACTTTCTACCTTTACACACCCTCCCAAACTCATCCACTAACCTTTGCAACTTTTCTTTAGAATCTCCCAAAAGCACAGTATCATCAGCAAAAAGTAACCGTGTCAACTCCTATTTTGTATTTGATATGCCATAATGTAATCCAACCCCTCTCCCTAACACCCTAGCATTTACTTCTTTTACAACCCTATCTATAAATATGCTAAACAACAATGGTGACATCACACATCCCTGTCTAAGGCCTACTTTTACTGGTAAGTAATCTCCCTCTCTCCTACACACCCTAACCTGAGCCTCACTATCCTCATAAAAACTCTTTATAGCATTAAGTAACTTACCACTTATTCCATACACTTGCAATATCTGCCACATTGCTCCCCTATCCACTCTATCACATGCCTTTTCTAAATCCATACTATATGCAATGAAAACTTCCCTACCTTTATATAAATACTATGTTTCAATGTAAACACATGATCTACACATCCCTTACCCATTCTAAAGCCTCCTTGTTCATCTGCAATCCTGCTCTCTGTCTTACCTCTAATTCTTTCAATAATAATCTGTAGCCACAAAAAACAGAATAGCGTGACATTATAAACAAAACCAGAAGTTTTAAAGACGTTTGGCGGTGGACAGCGAGGTGTGGTTTCATTATACGTCACTTTGCTTAAAGTCACAGTTTCCAAGAACCTATCAACGACATTATGCGAGGACGTACTGTACACTAAAAAGTGGAAAAACCTCTTTCGTACATAACATAATGCAGATGAATAAAAATAAGTAGATGAATAAATGAAAAATATATTTTTAAATCATACCTGACTAATAAGTGTTTCAACAATACGACACTGATGAGACATATCAGTAACCATTGTGACCATATTATCATCCCCTGAGCGAACAAGTGTTGGTCCAAAGACAATAGCAAGGTTACGAACGTCCATCTTATTCATGTCAGAGTGGGTGACGATATTGTTTAAGTGCGTTATTAAGAATCGCAGGGTCTCATAGTGGTGATATGGCAGTTCTTGAACCTGGAACAAACATAAGACTTCAGTATATTACATAAAAAAAAACAACCTAAAACTACATCGATCACTAAATACATTTATAACAAGTGAGATCCATATCATATCTCAGGAATCAAGCAGACCTGGTCAGTTATAATTCTCCAGCATGATTCCACTTCTATTTATAGAGCCTTAAATACTAAATAATAACCCACATGGAGACAGCAACACAACAGATTTTAAACCAATTTTAACATGTAAAATCTTATAGAAGAACAATTAATATAAACTTTCTTTCTTCTTTCAATGCACCTGCCGTATCCCACCGAGGCAGGGTGGCCCAAAAAGAAAAATGAAAGTTTCTCTTTTTAAATTTAGTAATTAATATAGGAGAAGGGGTTACTAGCCCCTTGCTCCCGGCATATTAATCGCCTCCTACAACACGCATGGCTTATGGAGGAAGAATTCTGTTCCACTTCCCCATGGAGATAAGAGGAAATAAACAAGAACAAGAACTAGTTTATAGGTAGTAGGTTGGTAGACAGCAACCGCCCAGGGAGGTACTACCGTCCTGCCAAGTGAGTGTAAAACGAAAGCCTGTAATTGTTTTACATGATGGTAGGATTGCTGGTGTCCTTTTTTCTGTCTCATGAACATGCAAGATTTCAGGTACGTCTTGCTACTTCTACTTACACTTAGGTCACACTACACATACATGTACAAGCACATATATACACACCCCTCTGGGTTTTCTTCTATTTTCTTTCTAGTTCTTATTCTTGTTTATTTCCTCTTATCTCCATGGGGAAGTGGAACAGAATTCTTCCTCCGTAAGCCATGCGTGTTGTAAGAGGCAACTAAAATGCCGGGAGCAAGGGGCTAGTAACCTCTTCTCCTGTATATATTACTAAATGTAAAAGGAGAAACTTTCGTTTTTCCTTTTGGGCCACCCCGCCTCGGTGGGATACGGCCGGTGTGTTGAAAGAAAGAAAAGAAAGAACTAGTTAGAAAATAGAAGAAAACCCAGAGGGGTGTGTATATATACAGTGGACCCCCGCCTTACGATGGCATCGCGTTACGTTAAATCCGCCATACGATACATTTTAACACAAAAATTTTGCCTCGCCTTACGTGATTCGTCCGGGACGCGTCCCAGTGTTTACAAGCCAGCCAGTGCGGTCACATCCACGCATACATTCGGTACATTTCACCTTATCCCAGTGTTTTTTGTGCTTGTAACTGCAAAATAAGTTACCATGGGCCCCAAGAAAGCTTCTAGTGCCAACCCTGTGGTAAATAAGGTGAGAATTAATATGGAAATTAAGAAAGATTTTGAAGGGTTTGGGGCTAACTCTGAGAAGCCTATGACAGTTGTGGAATCCATTGTGCCTACTTTAAAGATTAAGGAAATGTGTGCAAAGTGGGTTTAAGTGCAAACTTTTATGGATGAAAATCACCCTAACCCAGCTATTGCAAGCCGTGCTGGTGACTATTACAATGACAATGTTGTGGCCCATTTTAGGCAAATCTTTAAGGAATGGGAGGTACAGACCTCTATGGACAGATTTGTTGTGCGACAGAGGTCCAGCGACTCTCAAGCTGGTTCTAGTGGCATTAAAAGAAGAAGGGAAGTAACCCTGGAAAAGGACTTGTTACCTCAAGTCCTAATGGAAGGGGATTTCCCTTCTAAACAATAACTTCCACACTCTCCCCTCCTCCCATCCCATCAATCATCACCAGATCTTCAATAAAGGTAAGTGTCATGTATTCTATTCTTAGTACAGTAGTAATTGTGCATGTCTTCTTCAGTTTGTGTGTATTAAAATTAATATTTCATGTAGTAAAAAATTTTTTTTTCATACTTTGGGGTGTCTTGCACGGATTAATTTGATTTCCATTATTTCTTATGGGGAAAATTAATTCACCTTACGATAATTTCGGCTTACGATGAGCTCTCAGGAACGGATTAATATCGTAAGGCAGGGGTCCACTGTATATGCTTGTACATGTAGGTAGTAGGCTGGTAGACAGCAACCACCCAGGGGGGTAATACCGTCCTGCCAAGTGAGTGAGAACCGAAAGCCTGTAATTGTTTTGCAAGATGGTAGGATTGCTGGTGTCTTTTGTCTATCTCATAAATATGCAAGATTACAGGTATGTCTTGCTACTTCTACTTACACTTAGGTCACACTACACATACGTGTAAAAGCATATACAGTGGACCCTCAACCAGCGATGGCATCGATTAACGATAAATCTGACTAGCGATACATTTTAACGCAAAAATTTTGCCTCGACTAGCGCTTAAAAACCCGACCAGCGCTATTCGTTCCGTACGAGACACGTCCACTTTGGCCTGAGCCCGCCTCACTTGTCCCGTGGGTGCCAGTGTTTACAAGCCAGCCACCGCAGTCGCTTCCAAACATACAACTGGAACATTTCATATTATCACAGCCTTTGTAGTGATTGCACCTGCAAAATAAGTCACCATGGGCCCCAAGAAAGCTTCTAGTGCCAACCCTACAGCAAAAAGGGTGAGAATTACTATGGAGATGAAGAAAGAAATCATTGCTAAGTATGAAAGTGGAGTGCGTGTCTCTGAGCTGGTCAGGTTGTATAATAAACCCCAATCAACCATCGCTACTATTGTGGGCAAGAAAACGGCAATCAAGGAAGCTGTTCTTGCCAAAGGTGCAACTATGTTTTTGAAACTGAGATCACAAGCGGTAGAAGATGTTGAGAGACTCTTATTGGTGTGGATAAACGGGAAACAGATAGCAGGAGATAGCATCTCTCAAGCGATCATATGTGAAAAGGCTAGGAAGTTGCATGACGATTTAATTAAAAAAATGGCAGCAACTATTGATGTGAGTGAATTTAAGGCCAGCAAAGGTTGGTTTGAGAGATTTAAGAAGCGTAGTGGCATTCATAGTGTGATAAGGCATGGTGAGGCTGCCAGTTCAGACCACAAAGCGGCTGAAAAATATGTGCAGGAATTCAAGGAGTACATAGACAGTGAAGGACTGAAACCTGAACAAGTGTTTAATTGTGACGAAACAGGCCTGTTTTGGAAGAAAATGCCAAGCAGGACGTACATTACTCAGGAGGAAAAGGCACTCCCAGGACATAAGCCTATGAAAGACAGGCTTACTCTGTTGATGTGTGCCAATGCTAGTGGTGATTGCAAAGTGAAGCCTTTATTGATGTATCACTCTGAAACTCCCAGGGTGTTCAGGAAAAACAATGTCGTCAAGGCTAATTTGTGTGTGCTGTGGAGGGCAAACAGTAAGGCATGGGTCACTAGGGACTTTTTCTTTGACTGGTTACACTATGCATTTGCCCCCAATGTGAAAAATTACCTAATTGAAAAGAAATTAGACCTTAAGTGCCTCCTGGTATTAGACAATGCTCCTGGTCATCCTTCAGACTTGGCAGAGCGACTTTATAGGGACATGAGCTTCATTAAGGTGAAGTTTTTGCCTCCTAATACCACTCCTCTCCTGCAGCCCATGGACCAGCAGGTCATTTCCAACTTCAAGAAACTGTACACAAAAGCTATGTTTGAAAGGTGCTTTGTAGTGACCTCAGAAACTCAACTGACTCTAAGAGAGTTTTGGAAAGATCATTTTACCATCCTCAAATGTGTAAACATTATAGGTAAGGCTTGGGAGGAGGAAGTGACTAAGAGGACCTTGAACTCTGCTTGGAAAAAACTGTGGCCAGAATGTGTAGACAAAAGGGATTGTGAAGGGTTTGAGGCTAACCCTGAGAATCCTATGCCAGATGAGGAATCCATTGTGGCACTGGGGAAGTCCTTGGGGTTGGAGGTTAGTGGGGAGGATGTGGAAGAGCTGGTGGAGAAGGACAATGAAGAACTAACCACTGATGAGCTGCTAGATCATCTTGAACATCAAGAGAGCAGACCTGAGGAAACTGCTTCGGAGGAGGGGATAGAGAAATTGAAGAAGTTGCCTACTTCTAAGATTAATGAAATGTGTGCAAAGTGGCTTGAAGTGCAAACCTTTTTTGATGAAAATCACCCTGACACAGCTAATGCAAGCCGTGTTGGCAACCTGTACACTGACAATGTTGTGAACCACTTTAGGAAAGTCATAAAGGAACGAGAGGTACAGGTATCTATAGACAGATATGTTGTGCGACAGAAGTCCAGTGACTCTGAAGCTGGTCCTAGTGGCATTAAAAGAACAGGGGAAGTAACCCCAGAAAAAGACTTGCTACCACAAGTGCTAATGGAAGGGGATTCCCCTTCTAAACACTAAGAAGATCAATGGTCTCCCCTCCTCCCATCCCATCAATCATCACCAGATCTTCAATAAAGGTAAGTGTCATATAACTGTGCATGTCTTCTTCAGTTTGTGTGTATTAAAATTAATATTTCATGTGGTAAAAATTTTTTTTTTTCAATACTTTGGGGTGTCTTGCACAGATTAATTTGATTTCCATTATTTCTTATGGGGAAAATTAACTTGACTAACGATTATTTCGATTAACGATGAGCTCTCAGGAACAGATTAATATCGCTGGTTGAGGTTCCACTGTATATATATATATATATATATATACACACCCCTCTGGGTATTCTGCTATTGTCTTTCTAGTTCTTGTTCTTGTTTATTTCCTCTCATCTCCGTGGGAAAGTGGAACAGAATTCTTCCTCCGTAAGCCATGCGTGTTGTAAGAGGCAAATAAAATGCCGGGAGCAAGGGGCTAGTAACCCCTTTTCCTGTACATATTACTAAATGTACAAGGAGAAACTTTCGTTTCTCCTTTTGGGCCACCCCGCCTCAGTGGGATACGGGCGGTGTGTTGAAAGAAAGAAGACATGTAGGTAGTAGGTTGGTAGACAGCAACCACCCAGGGAGGTACTACCGTCCTGCCAAGCGAGTGTGAAACGAAAGCCTGTAATTGTTTTGCACGATGGTAGAATTGCTGGTGTCTTTTGTCAGTCTCATAAATATGCAAGATTACAGGTATGTCTTGCTACTTCTACTTACACCTAGGTC